TTGTGTGTGTGTGTGGCCAGCTCAGCCCACCAGGGGGCGGGTCTGGCTGGCATGTGGTGCTGGGGATCGAACCGCGGTCCCTCTGCTTTGCCAAGCTTGTTTCAAGTAGGTGCTTTAGACCACTGAGCCATCTCTCCAGCCCCTCATCCTCTTCTTAGTAGTTTGTTTTTTTTCTTTTTTTTTTTTTTTCTTTGTCTCCAGGAGACAGTGCTGGCATCTTTTTGTTTATAACAGCCCATGAGTCACTGTGAATGTTGCAGAGTGGCAAATCACATTCCAGTCTCATTTTACTGCTTCAGGGTCTTAGCATACAGCTCTTTACTGTCTTCTTACACAGTCATGCTTAGGTGAATTAACCAGAGAGCACAGTATCTGTCTTCTATTCATTTTTGCTTAGTACCAGATATGTTTAGAAGTAGACAGCTTTTTCCTAGTTGCCAATATTTTAGACCATACTCTATGACTGGAAAGCCCTGAATCTACTTTTTGTTAAAAAGTGAATTTGCACCTATAAGCAAATAAAGCCAACTCTTTCTTTCTTTCTTTCTTTCTTTCTTTCTTTCTTTCTTTCTTTCTTCTTTTTTTTTTTTTTTCTTTTGCGGAACCGGGGATTGAACTCAGGCCCTTATGCTTACCAGAGAAGTGTTTGTTCCACTGAGCCATCTCCCCAGCCCAAGCCAACCATTTCTTAAAAGAGATACTGGTCTTACAAGTGGACTTACTGACTTGGCACACACAAATGGTCCCTTGAAGAAAACCTCAAAATTTATTGTAAAATTAAAAACAAAACAAAACAACTATATCAAATAAAGAAGCAAGCAAAATTCTTCTCAAAACTTTTAAAATAATACTTTGATTTTGAATGTTTAGACTTTATCCTTATAATAGTTTAACTGATAGCTTTTAAAATTGTATATGTTTAGGAGAATTTTGTAATATAAACATTTTCCAGCCAGATGAGGTGGTGCATACCTATAATCCCTATACTAGGGGAGGCTAAGGTGGAAAGATTACAGATTTAAAGCCAGTTCTGTTAGTTGAAGGATGGTCTAGGCTACATAGTGAGACCTTGTCTCAAAAAACAAAACAGGGACCAGAGAGATGGCTCAGTGGAATAAGTGCTTCCCTGGCAAGTGCAAGGGCCTGAGTTCAATTCCCAGTCCTGTTAAAAAA